CCTTGTGCGCCCCCCGCCGGTGCCCTTCGGGCGGGCGCCCCATCCTCCGGGGACCGTCCGTTAGTTACAACAAAGACTTCGCAAAATGCTCTAGCATTGTAGCACGCTTTGCAAACTTTTTGTTTTCCGTTTTTTTTTTTTTAAGTAAATATTTGCACTTGTGTCAAGGCAAATGCTGTCCTAAGTGGCAGAAATATCAGCGTGTAAATCAGTTTGCAATGTTATCTCTCTTGTGAGCTTGCTAGTTGCAATTTTGTATTTACCCAGGCTTGGTGTGGAAAAGCGGACTTTGTTTTCTAGCTGAAAACAGTAGCGGGGGAGAGTTGACTACCTCTGGGCCGGTGTCAGCTGGACTTAAGCTGCTGAGTGTACCTGCCTTCGTCCCAGCATCACCGCAAACCCTGGTGTGTTTCTCACGTGCACAGGAGGCTACGAGAGGACCCCGAGAGCGGCGAGGAGAGCGCTGCGAGGCCGGGCACCATGAGGAGCCTCCTGCGCGTCGCCCTCGGTGGCTGCTCCGCTCCCGCCCTCGGCAGCCTGCTGCAGCCCCCGGTGCCTTCCTCCCGGGTGCCCGCTTCCCGAATGTTCCGCACCAACCAGGTACTGTGGTCTCAAGCGCCTCTGAAACCAGGTAAGCTGACTGCACCATCATAAACACGTATAGATGTGTTCCATTTTATGCCACAAAAGTTTTAAATCAACTCCTTAAGTAGTTTGTTTGTTTTTGTTTTCTTTGAGAGGGAAGGGAGGCAGGTACCTCTTTATGGAGAAGATTAAAAAGAACCCTCTTAAATCATGTCGATAGCTGATTTAGTCAATCAGTTACTTGTAATACAGTCTTACACTATTTTTCTAGGACTTTTGCAGAAGAAGTTCATGTTCACTGAGAATACTTGGAAGTCCAAATAGTCCTCACAGGCAGATGATTGGAGCTCCCGCAGACAAGTGTCTTCCTTGGAGAAAGAAATTAAACAAATGCTTTCCTTGGCAAAAGGCCCCAGTTCCCCAAGAGATTTGCTAGCCTGATTGTGGTGTACATATGAGAAAGGCATCCCTTGAAAAAAGAGCATCTGCCAGCCGCGTGGCTGTATACAAACCAACTATCCTGTCCAGAGTTACTGGATTTGTTCAGGAAACTTTTTAATGTTGTGCTGTCTTCCAGCTTTGAGCTGCATCTTCACTTATGGGGCGTGTTGGTGTTTTTAATACTGGTAATATAATAATAAAGGTAATGGGGAGGGGGAAGGTCTCTTATCTCGACAACTTAGAGGACTGAAGAACATGCAAAAGTACTTTAATGCTGTTTTTGCCCCTTATTTTGCATGAGTCAGGACCCCTGAAGGAATGAAGAGGCCTCAGCACTGATGGTTTGGGTCTTCTGGGTTTGAGACAGATTAAGGCGTATGTGAAGAATTAGTCTGGCTGTATGATTGTACAGTGGTGGTCAGTTGTCCCACACTTGCACAGCAGGTGATGCGTTAGGTCTTTTGAAGACCTACAAAAGTAGCACTGTTAGTGAAAAGAACTGTCTGGTTGTCAAAATATGGAATACAAGGTCAGATTCTATAGCTTAGAAAAGCTTTGCTACATGGGATTAACATGGGCTTGGTGAATATGTTTTCCAAAATGCTTCCATGAGAACTTTATTGAGAAAAAGCGGTATTTGTATTCATGCAAGACAGTTATTTAATGTTGAGAGTTATAAAATCTGATTAAGTCTCTTGGTTGATAATTAAACTGTCCTTTTGTTTCACTTTGGTAGCATGAGATTTGTCGTTTAGCAGAGGGCAAATCAAGGATAAAAACAGTAATTGAATGACACTTTAGTAGTGCTGCTGCGCACATACACCCTTTTAAGAATTTCTGAATCAAAGTTCAACTGTATATAAAAGACTACATCTTATTTCTTTTAGAAATTAATGTTTGAATATAACGGCACTTGGTAAAATCATTGTAATGTTATCCAGAAGAATATAAGCTTCCTAAAGAAGTTAATGTTTCTGTAATTCTTCTCAAGCCTATAGTTATTACTTGCATTCTCGCAATTAGCTTTCACAGAGTACAGTGTATGTTATATACAGAAATGTGTGTGTGTATATATATACATATATATATAACAACCTCTCTGGGCAGCCTGTTCCAGGGCTCTGTCACCCTCACAGTAAAGAAGTTCTTCCTCATATGGAGGTGGAACTTCCTGTGTTTCAACTTGCACCTGTTACCCCTCATCCTGACAGTGGCCACTATGGAGAAGAGTTTGGCCCCATCCTCCCTACACTCACCCCTAAGGTACTTGTATATGTTGATCAGATCCCCCCTCAATCTTCTCTTCTCCAGACTAAACAGGCCCAGCTCGCTTAGTCTTTCTTCATATGACAAATGCTCCAATCCCATAATCATCTTTGTGGCTCTCCGTTGGACCCTCTCTAGGAACTCCATGTCCTTCTTTTACTGGGGAGCCCAGAACTGCACCCAATACTCCAGGTGCGGCCTCACCAGAGCTGAGTAGAGGGGCAGGATCCCCTCCCTCCACCTGCTGGTGACGCTCCTCCTGATGCAGACCAGGATCCCATTGGCCTTCTTGGCCATGAGGGCACATTGCCGGCTCATGATTAACCTGTTGTCAACCAGGACTCCCAAATCCCTCTCTGTGAAGCTGCCTTCCAGCAGGTCAACCCCTAATCTGTCCTGGTGCCTGGGGTTATTCCTCCCCAGGTGCAGGACCCTGCACTTGTCCTTGTTGAGCCTCATGAGGTTCCTCTCTGCCCAACTCTCCATCCTATCCAGGTCCCTCTGAATGGCAGCACAGCCCTCGGGAGTGTTGGCCACTGCTCCCAGTTTGGTGTCATCTGCAAACTTGCTGAGGGTGCACTCTGTGCCCTCGTCCAAGTCACTGATGAACACGAGCACCGGGACCAGTACTGACCCCTGCGGGACACCACTGGCCTCAGACCGCCAACTAAACATGTACATATACACATACACACATGAATGTACTTTATACCCAGCTGCCTGAGTAGCAAGGAAGAAATTTGGAGTCCCTTGAAAAGTAAAGTAGGAGGATGCATACTTTCTCTCACTATTTGTTTTGTTACTTTTCTATCGCTGTTCGTTTTGTTGTCTTTTTTTTTTGTTTCTCAGAAACAGGAATTTCTATGCAGGAATAAACAATATTCCAGTGTCATGTCTCAATCAGTGGCCAGTACCAGATGCTTCCGCGATAAATGCAAAACTTTCCCAAGCCCTGGTAATAGCAACTTTTGTAGTAAATGATTCTGGCTTTTCCAATGTGCTCCAGTTAGTTTGTATCCTATGGCGTGATGTCTTTTACCCCTCTCTATTGTAGGTTTCTTTTTTTTTTTTTTTTTCATGCCCTTCCTGTTAAAAAGATTTCATTTGAGTGGGGAAAAAATAAATCTTTCAGGACTTTTAAACTGATAATGTTTTACTGTTAATTCTATAGATGAGATGTAAACAGTTTATAAAACACGAATATTTTTCTGTAGTTTGATTTCTTTTGTTTCTCCCTGCTTCTGTGAGAAGAGAGATACGGCGTGTGTGTGTGTGTTTAATCTTCTATGCCATTTCTTTTTCTTGCCTACATCATATTGCTGTTCTTCAGAATACATCCTCGTCTTACTTCAGAACAGGTGAGACGGTTCATTTAAAACTGATTTGAGAATATGTTAGTAGTTGGGGAAATTTTGTATCCCATTTTCTTCATCTCAGAAAATGTAGCATATAGTTGAAACTTCCCCCAGGTTCCTTCAGGTCAGCCTCTAACACTTGTTGATACTGTTTCTTCCTCCTCAAATCAGATTAACTAGGGAGAAAGTTGTATTTTTCCTTAGGAGGCTGTTTAAACATTCAATTCTATCAGTAGATAGAAGTTAAACAATGCAGATAGAAATAAAATAATGGAGAAGAAAGGGTTATAAATAGATTTATGAGCAAGGTTTGATATCTCCTCATTGAACAGTGGAGATTATGATGAGGAAGAAGAAAGCATAGCCATAGGAGTGGCTTATTTAAAAATACAGTGTTCTTATTTTTTCTTTTTGAACTGTATGCGTGCTTGATGTCAAGATTCTAAGGCTTATGAAATTTAGTAGTAGTAGTAGCAGTAGTAGTGAATTTCTTTTCACACTGATTCTTGAGGTCAAAAAAGCTTTGTGCATCTCAATGAATGAACCGTGTCTGCTCTAGCTAAAGACAGGCAAACTGAAGTCTGTTTGCTTCACTGTTCACTTACATTTTGGTTGCTAGGAAGTGAGTAGTAGCATAGAGGGATAAGACTGTGTGAGAAGAATGAGATTTTTTTTAAGTGTTTTTGTTTTTTATCTTCCAAAACTGGAGGTGGGCATAGCCCTCCTTATTGGTCATGGCCATTCTGCTTACTAAAGAAGTTGCAAATGCTTTCATTCTGGAAAAGCTTTACATATTTTTATTGCAAGCCACACCAGCAGTATAAATGAAGAAAATGAGGGAACATGTTTGGCATGTAATGCATCTTTTATCCCATCCCTATTTGCTCTTCTGGTTTAGTCTTCCATGCAAAAGCAAATGGACAAAAAAAGAAAATGGAAGCAGCAGTTTGGGACCTTACATTTTACGAACAGAAAACTTAGAGCTTTTAACTCGTATGAGTTTAGCTCTTAACTCATATGAGTTGTTTGTACACCTTTAAATTTGCAGTTATCCTCCTAGTGTCTATGTGTTGTAACCCCTTCCTTCCTTCCTCTGCCTCCATGCACTGTAAAACTTGGAAAAGGAGAAAGAGAAGGTAGTACTTAATTCTAATGTTTTTTCAGAGCTTTTTGGAAAGCTTTCTGTCCTGGAGCTACCACATTTCCCAAATCATGATTCATATTTGTTATTCTAGAAAGGAAAGTCTGTTAGATGTCCTTTCTGCCTTTGGAAAGCCTTATTTCCACTGAATTATTTTGATGAAAGTCAGCAGCAAACTTCCCCTCAACTCTTCAGTGCTCTACAATGAAGCCATGTCCTGAAGACAGAAGTATTTCTGTGAGGGATGTCAGCAGCCACCATAGCTTTCGGGTGGCTGATGGTGCTGCAGTAGTGATGCCTTAAGCCACCCTGTGGTGTTTGAATGTGCTGTGTTGCTGATGAAGCAAATCTTTACAAAGCCCATTGCTACTTCTGTAGCTCTTTTGTTTTAGATACATATTCTGTTCCTTTAATATATACTTTTTGGATTTGGTTTTACCTAGTAATCTAAGGAATGTAACATGTTCTTAAATGAATACAGAAACTTCTGTCTCAGAATTACTTGTTATTATTAGATCATTAGATTATTAGTTTAATTTTACAGAGAAAGATATGAAAGGAAGAGTAGAAATAATAAGCAATGTACTTCTCTGCTTAGTGAGCTTCTTGTTGGATATGTTTAGTCTTTAATGGATCGTGAGATTGAGTGTGAGTAGTCTTTTTTAAAATCCAAATTATTAGCAACTATGCATTATATTTTCAGAATGTTACAAATGGTATGGTATGCTGTGAGAATTGTTATTCTAAAACACCTTAAGATCTTCAACTTTGAGCACCTGCTGGTCCCAGTTCCATTTCATAGCTGTAAGAACTTTGGATTTAAAAATGTCAAAATAATTCCCTTCCTCAAATTTCTCATGGTAAAGGTACAAATACTTGTGTCTATCCTTAAAAAAAAAAGTGGGGGGAGCATGCAGGAAAACAGACCTTTTTAAAACATACAACATACTATCTGGTACCATTTTAAAAATAATAAAATACGTATTTGTCAGAGTTGTTTATGCCAAGTTAAAAAAATAGGTTATGTAAAACAAGCTCTTAATCATCAATTCTTTTTTTCTTTTTTTAGCTTGGTCTTTAATATGAGTGGCTTCTCGGGCCGCTTAAGTTCTGTTCATAGCAGTGCAGTAAATGTGCTGTAAATGTCACAGTGCAAAATTTAAGTTTTGGAGAGATATCTGTGAAAGCTGTTGCAGAATGGGACTCGCATGTTGGACTCCATGTGGTTTTGTGTAATTGAAGGAATATGGTAACTCGATATATGATTATCTTGCCTGAGATCATGTATGCATAAGAAATAAGTTGGAACACTTGATTGGATTGAAGAAGTTTAGCTGGAAATATCTCAAGGTCCTCAAATTGTAGATAAAATCAGAGGTCCGTAATATGGTGCCTTAAGCTAAAACTGATATATCGCAGCTTCTGTAAGTTTCCTGGCACTATTTAGTAGAACATGAATACTTTAAAAGAGGGAATTGTTTTACTTCAATTTTTTACTTTGATATACTTTGGTAGTTAAATTTGAAGTGTGATTGAGTGAACTTGTTATCAGACATCCAGTTATTCAAATACTCCTAAATTACAGTTTTAATTTCTATAGTGGTGGTCCAAGCACTTCATTGTTTTTTTGTGGTACATAACTTATACTCAGTGATAGTGAACTGAAACAACTGCTGTGTGATTGTTTTTTTTAATAGACATTCAAAACTAATGTTCAGTTAAAATGCAAATAAGCTGCTCAACTCATTTGCTTTTTCAGAGAAAAACTGAAACAAATAGAGGAAGTTAAGCTTGTTTATTCCTGTTTAGAATATATCCAAGAATACTGTAACTGATTAAGTTGAGATGGGTGTGAACTACATCAGATACCTGTTAGTGCTTTTGTGGTGGCTGCAGTGATCTGTTGGTATCTGAGGAAATAGGAATGTCTGGAAAGATGGTATAATTTAAGGAAATGTAAAATATACTGGTGGAAAACGTGTTTCTGCTTCCTCTTTCCTGAGAAGGGAAAAAATACTAAATGTGACTGGCTTGAATGTCTGTGTGCAGCACTGAAGAATGCCATTAGGATCAATTCTGAAAACCTTAAGTTTCTTGATGCAACTAATGCTGTCCTTCTGTTACTCTTACAGGAATTCCTTACAAGCAGCTGACTGTAGGTGTCCCAAAGGAGATATTTCAGAATGAGAAGAGGGTGGCTTTGTCACCGGCCGGGGTTCAAGCTTTGGTTAAACAAGGCTTCAATGTTGTGGTGGAATCCGGTGCTGGAGAAGCTTCCAAATTTTCTGATGACCATTACAGAGAAGTAGGAGCAAAGATCCAGGGGACCAAGGAAGTACTGGCTTCAGATGTAGTTGTCAAAGTAATTGCTTTATTAATATAATTTCTATTGCTTTTTTTTTTTTTTCCTAAAGTTAACTCTTTCTTGAGCCAACAGTGATCTGTGAACTATAGCTGAAAAATTACTGAATTTAATTGTGCAAACAGCTTTCATACTTTCTCATATGCTTTGTGATTGAGAACACAAGTTGAAGAAAAAGAAAGTGGGGCATGTCCTGATTTACTACTTCTGACTGTTTTGGAAACTTCCCTCTTTCTCCAGGTGAGGGCTCCGATACATAACCCTGAACTAGGGGTACATGAAGCAGACCTTTTTAAGACAGCTGCTACCCTGATTAGTTTTATCTATCCAGCTCAAAATCCAGACCTCCTGAAGAAACTTGCAGAAAAAAAAGCTACTGTCTTGGCCATGGACCAGGTTCCACGAGTCACCATTGCTCAGGGATATGATGCACTTAGCTCCATGGCCAACATTGCTGGGTATGATTTTACTTGTTTTATCATATTTTGGTACTAGGTATATTTAAGACTGTTCTGTGTCTTTATTTTCACACATCTTTTTGAAGCAGGATTAACTTGTAGGAGGTGCCCAACAACTTTAACCTCCTCAAATCAGAACTGTTTTAAAAAAAGATAAATACCTGCATTCTTTCATTTCCTGGACTGGTTTGTCTAGTACCTCTTTATTCTGGACTAGATCAGAGCTGTCTTTAAGGCAGCTTGAACATGGACTGTCACTTGCATTTAATCTTGTTGGGAGCTAATGTTAACTAAAAAGAGTGCTCAGTATTAATGCAATGGTCATGGCAGGTGCCGATAGAAAGACCGAATACTCTCAAATATCTTCACGCTTTGTGCAGGGTGCTATAGACTTTAGGTTCTTATTGACAACCTGATAGTTTTTAAATTACTGGTTTTTTTTTTTTTTTTTTTTTTTTTTTGGATTTCATATGTAGGTGACGTATGCCCATAGGGTATATTAAGGCTTGTCCTAGCAGGAGACTGAACTATTTTGTGGACGTATCACAAATCTGCAAGCTATATTCCTAATAAGCACTAGTTTTAGGACTCCAGACCTAGATAAATCTCTGCTAGAGATCAGAAAGAATAGAATGGAACTGTTGAACAATGTCAGTGTTGATAAAAATAGAAGAAAATGTGCACTCTTGAGAAAAGATGCAAGTCCATAATAATCAGCCTTTTCAGATACTTGTGCTGATGTGTCCAGGCACCCATTCTAGCATGGCTACAAAAGCAGCTGGTACAACAGAGGTAGAAAGTTTGAGCAGCTTGTTCTATGCCATACAGTTCTGCAAAGCTAGAAGTTGTTTGCCTACCTAAATGCTTACTGCAAAATTACTGGGGGGTTTATAGTTTTTTGTATATGATTCCCTCTCTAACAAGCCCGGGGGATGTAGTCTTTGAAGGCAGCCTCAAAGACGACAAACTTTTTTGTTAGGTTAAATAACCTAATGTGAGTATTATGGACATCCAGCATATTGCTGTCTATGCAGTCTCTCTGAAAAATCTATTCCATCATAAAAAAGATGTAGCTCTGAATATCAGCAGGGGCAGAGTAATAAATTTGTGCTCCAGAGGAAAGTATTAAACTTGTTTCATCATATATGTTCTTTGGCCTACATTGTGTTCTTTGGATTGCTGTCAATGGATGGCATTAGGTTGTCCCTATTAGGGAAAATACCAAAACATGTTTTTATCTTCCTTACGTGGCAGTTACAAGGCTGTTGTGTTGGCAGCAAATCATTTTGGTCGTTTTTTCACGGGTCAGATCACAGCTGCTGGTAAAGTTCCTCCAGCCAAGGTATGTACAATAAATCAAGTATTCTAGTAAAAGAAGAGGTCATTTCCTGAGTGCACCTAACAACAGTTTGTCTTAGAAATTTTTCCACATTAGGGATTAGTAATTTTTGCTCACTACTTTTAGCCTTTTTTTGGG